TGTGTTCACCCGATGTACTCTAAACCTTGGCGACTATGCGACTTAGTGCCTGTTGTATAAACCCTGACGACTATGAGACTTAGTGCCTAAACCCTGGCGACTATGCGACTTAGTGTCTGTTGTATAAACTCTGACGACTATGAGACTTAGTGCCTAAACCCTGGTGACTATACGACTTAGTGCCTGTTGAGTAAAACCTGGAAACTATGGATTTCGTGTCGATTCTTTAGGATGATCCTTAGGAATGAATGAACGAGGAATAGCTAATTCTTAGGGTAGATCCTTAAGAGTAAAGAAGATAATGGGGATAGGTAATTGGGTTGATTGTTTGATGTTTAAACATAATAATTATATTATTGTGGGTTGAAAACCCTATGTACTTACCAGGTTTCCCAACCTGACCCACTCAAGCTTATTTGAATCACAGGTGCCGATACGAAGTTACATTACACTGAGAGATTAAAGAGGTGTAGATCACTAGTGTAAATGAATGTAGGTTCTGTTTATGCTTATGTTTCTGTATTGACAATGACATCCCAAAATGTTTTAAAATGAATAAAAAAAATACATTTCTTCGGAAATGCTTTGATAACGTATTTATCATGTTTTACTGGGAACAAATTCTGCAACATTTTTATTAAAAGAAGTACTCTGATTTTTATAAAGCATAAACAAAATCAGTCTTTTCTGGCCGTGAAAATGGGGATGTCACACGGAGGACTGGAAGGTCAGGTGCGCCATGAACCTTCTCCGTTTGGGCACGAAGGTCAAGACTTGGGACCAAAATGCTCCAAGAATCAAGAGCTAACAAGATCTAAAGAAATGCAATCCAAGTTCAAAACTTTATACCACTTGGAGATTGCTAGATAAATGAGGATTCCAGACCCAAAACTTCTTCAAGCTTCCAAGGTGATTCTACTGCCTTCCTCCTCCTTCAAGGTCACCAAAATGCACACCAAAGGTCAAGAAAGCTCAAACAAGGGACTAGGGTTTGCTAAGGTCGAGTGAAGTGATGGAGGCTGATGAGAAGAGAGACTTGGAGGCCATAATGATGTTTAAATAAGGTCTAAACCCTAAAAATTAGGGTTTGTACTCTGACCACTTACGCCCAACGTTCGTGCCCATCTCCCAAAAATTACGAAAATGCCATTTGGGTTCAATTTTGCAATTAATTCACATCCAAGATCTAAAATGAAATAAATTCTCATACTTAGGGTTTTAAAATGAAAATACCTCAATATCGAGATGTTACTAAAAACCCTATGTGCTCACCAGGTTTTCCAACCCGACCCACTCAGTTTCCTTGTATCACAGGTTGCGGTACAAATATACATGAATGATGAGAGATTCAAGGAGATATAGACTGTTAGCCTAGGATACTATAAGACCTATTTATGCTTAAGCTTTTTGTACCAGTTATGATATCCCAAAGTTTTTAATAATCAATGGAAAACATTTCTACGAAAATACTTTTATGGGACAAATTCTGCATTTATAAATAAACTCTTTTTTAAATAAGCATAAATAAAAAGTTTTAAAATGACTGAAAAAATTAGATATATCACAAATAAAACTTAGAACATACTTCCTTCCTTTTTTTTTTCTTTCCCTCTTTAAGAAAAAAACTCAAGAACACTTATTTCTTTCCCTTTCATTCTTAAAAAACTTAAAAACACCCATTTTCTCCTTTTATTTGCATTTCCCTTCTTCAAAAAGAACTTTGAGAACGTAACATATGAGTTTGCGAGAATTTTTGTTGAAAATCCCGTATAATGGTATGTTAATATCAATTTTGAATTAACAAATAACGTCTAATTTTTGAGTTTTAGCAAATAAAAGAAAAGAAGGTGAAAGAAACTAAGGCTATCTGGTATGGGAGAGAAAACCACACGTGAAGGCTGATGTGACACCTCTACCCACGCGTGAACACCGCCCTAATGGAGAGTGGGTGTGTTGTGGCGTGACTCCGGCCACGGGAAAAGACGACGAAGCTGATTGGTTAATGCTCTCTTTGACAGTTCTTCTTTCTTTACGAACGTTGGAGATTTTTTTTTGAAGAGTGTATCAGATGCTTTAAATCTGGAGTTGCAGAGTAAAAATGGAGAAAAGAGCTGGATGATGCGTAGGGAGGAAGAAGACAGCAAAATGAAAGACTTGACAGATTTGGTCCCTCAAGTCTTGGCTGATTACACCTTCCACTCTAAATCAAATTTTTTATGCTTAAATAATGATTTTCTAAAATTACATATCATACCCTTTCAATTATCTTTTTTTCAATTTCTAATATAGCTTTAAATATTTATTGAATTTTAGAATTGTTTTTATTTGAATTTTTAATTAGTAAAATGATTACTTAAGTTTTTAATAATGTTCCTTTTTATTTAATCTAATGTTTTAAAATTAAAAAAATAAAAATATAAATGATGTGGAGTGGTAACCATTTCCAATGTCTAGTGGGTTGGTGGTAGGTTGGTGGTGAAGCTGATGTGGCGCAGATGTGGCAGCACTTTTTCGGTGGGTTGGGTATGACCATTCCCCACAGCCTAAAGGAGAGAAAAGAAGAAAAATAAAAAAGAAATAAATTTGTATTTCGTATTCCCGAGTTGATGATAATTAAAAGGAAAGTTAATGGTGCGTTTAGTTGTGGGAAAATGGGCCGTTTTCCGGAAAAATTTTCCAAGAAAAATGAGAATTTTGAAAACGCGTTTAGTTCGTCTATTTTTCTAAATTTTTCACGGAAAATGAAAATTTCCGTTTCTTAAAATTGACAAAGAGTTGGAAATGTTTGAAAAACCGATAATCATTGTTTTCCATAATTTTCTAATTCCAATTTTTTTCTAAAATATAAATACCCACTCCCACCTCATCCACCTCTATATACCCTCACCTTAATATCCCCAACCCACCACACCCCTACCTACCTACACTCACTCCCAAGCCCAATCCCACCCCCGCAAACACACACACACACACCCACACCCTCACAAACACACACACACACCAACCCCCACAAACACACACACAAACACACACACACACACAACGCCACCCACCCCCACCCCCACATCCACACACACACACACACACCCACAAAAACTCACACCCACACCCACCCACCCCCCCCCCCCCCCCCCACACACACACACCCAACACCACTACCATAATCACCGACCTACCATCACCATCACCACCACCACTACCCCATCACTAGCACCACCACCGTCGCCATCAGCACCACTGCCACAATTGCCAACGCCACAATCACTGCCTGTCATCACCACCACCACCGTCGCCATCATCGACACCACCACTGCCCCCCGCCGCTGCCCCCACCACTGCCACCGTCCCCACGCCCACCCTACTCCCGCTATCGTTTTCTAAAAATGAAAACCGATAGAAAAATACACATCTAAACACGTTTTCTAATTTTCTAAAACTGAAAATGAAAAATGAATAAGTTTTAACTAAACGCGTTTTCTAAATTTTCCAATGAAAACCGAAAACGGAAAACGAAAACTGAAAAGGGAAAACGAAAAAAAGAAAATGAAAATTGTTTTTCCGTAACTAAACACAACCTAAACATTTTATTTTTTCTCTCCATCATTTTAAATTGGAAGAAAATTGATCGTTCCATTGTACTTTTTTTCACATTTCTATCAATTTTTTTTTTCTTTTTCCTTTTTAAGTTGAATTCGAAAACAAAGTGTAAATGTGTATAACTAAAAACAAAATAAAGAATACTAACCTACCGGTTCCAAAAAAAATTGCCAGCAAAATTAATAAACTTTCAAAAATATTGAAAAGATTATAAAAACACAGTGATGTTTTTATCTGTTTTCTCAGTGTAAAAAAATATAAAGAATACCAACAGATCATACCAATTACAAAAAAATTACCAGCAAAATTAACAAACTTTCAAAAAATATTAAAAAAATTTATAAAAACACAGTGATGTTTTTATCTGTTTTGTCAGTGTAAAAAAAAGATCCTAGGGTAACAAGGTCATTTTTAAAGCAGTTGGTGTGGACTTAGTAAAAGAGGCGTGGGGAAGGGCAAAAATGGTGCCTTAATGAAAGCCCAAAAAGTGAGCGAGTGAGAGCGAAAGTATGACAGTAATGAGTGGTCAGCATGGAAGCATAACGAAAAGGAAATGAGTGCGTGTAACCTGGTATGAACATTATTATTTGCTTGTGGGTCCTCCAACTTTTGTTTTCTCTTTTTTCAGCCCCTTTCTTTTCACGACTCATACATTTGAGACCCATCCCCACTCCAACCAATTATCACCTTTCCAACCCAAACATTCAAAGTCTTCTATATTCTTTCCCTTAAAGAAACTTTCAAAAGGCAATCTTTTTAAAAAGTTCATTATTTAAAATTGCGTACATCATTACAAATGACTTAGGGTTAATAGTTGTTCTCTCTTACATCCTTATTGAAGATTATTATTGTTGATTAGTGTAACATAGTTTTCAAAATTATGTGTGACATTTAAATATAGTAAATTTTACAAAACATAATATAATATTAACAATTTTTTTAAGAAAATGACAAAGTAAAAGGCTTATAATTATAATCTTACTCTAAAGAGTTATGTTACATTTGACGTACTAGCTGATAGCTGAAAAACTAGTTAATAAAAAATAACTCGAAAAAATTATTGATAAACTAGTAGAAATATATAACATAACATAAAAACACATTTAATAGAATATGTTTTTTATAATTAGTTAACGATATAATTTAAAAAAAAAAACTTATGAAAAGTTTAACTAGCTTTTTAAAATGCTAGTTTTTAAGTTCATTTGTAAGTTTTTTTGATCGTTAAACATGATAACTTAAAAAAATCAAAAAATAAATTAACTTATCATCAGTTTATCTGTAATACGTCAAACACATCATTATTATAGTTATTAGGATATCGTAGAATTAAAAATCGTTTCCAATTAATCTTCATGATTTTTCAATTTTATTGTTTATCATATATTTTTCTTATCTCAATAATGTTACTAATAGAGTAATTTACCACTCGCATAGAATTCAAACGACAACACATGTAGAAGTTATATAAGGGACTGATCGTGGCATAGTTGATACTTTAGGAATAACATTGATTATAATTAAGCTGTAGGGACTCAATTTGTACGAGTTGGATAGTTCAGGGTCCTGAAATTCTTGAGCAATATTTAAACTTGCCCCTCTCTTCTCTCTCTCCCTCCATATATGAATACCTCCACTTCTTGTTCGTGGCCTTCCAGCATTCTCCCTTTTTTATCTGGAGAGTGAAACCTAATATTGTCGCCGTTCGTTCAGAATTCTTATTCATTTTTTTGAAGTATTGAAATCCAGGCCGAATAATCTCTCTGTTACGTTGTTCAAATTCGTCGATCTATGCTATCGTTTTGGTAATTTCAACTCTATACATGGCTCTGTGTGTGCGTCTGCATCAGTATGTATTCGTTTTTTGGTTTAACGCTCAAATACGTATGTATCCGTTTTTTATATAATACAGAAGTGGGATTGTATGAATAATTGGAGGTGGCGACCCCCATTGAGGTTTTCATGTGTTTATTTATCGACGTGATATTGTGAATTTCTAATTTACGAATTGTTCTGACAGGTGAAGGGCTTCTGATATTGGTCGTTAGTTTGATGGAAGGGCCTGATCAATTGGCTACAATGGGGGCTGATTTAGGATCATTGGTTGGAAAGATGAATACTACTACACTTAGCACCTCAGAGTACGCTTCCATTGTTAATATGAATCTGTTTGTTGCTCTTCTTTGTGCTTGTATCGTGATTGGCCATCTTTTGGAGGAGAGCCGGTGGATGAATGAATCTATCACCGCCCTGTTCATCGTAAGTATATTTATCCTAATCATTAAAACCGAAACAATACGTTTATTTTTTCTGGAATTTTATGAAATCGTTATAGATTTAATCACGGAGTTGTGAATTTGATCAAATTTTTTTGGTGATCGAAGGAGAAAAAGAAATTTGAATTTAATAGTTACTTTTTCGTGGATGACAATGACAGGGTCTATGCACTGGTGCTATTATTTTGTTAAGTACTGGAGGAACAAATTCACATCTGTTTGTCTTTAGTGAAGACCTTTTCTTCATTTACCTTCTTCCACCGATCATCTTCAATGCAGGGTGTGTTTTACTCTTTTCAAAAGTTATATATGATTATGAATTATGATCTGTTTGCTTTGAATGTTTCTATTTTCTTTGCAATAAAAAATCAACAGGTTCCAGGTAAAGAAGAAACAGTTTTTCCGCAATTTCATGACCATTGTGCTATTTGGTGCTATTGGCACTGTAATATCCTTCACCATCATCTCATATGGTATAAACCAACATCTTCACTTTAATACAATCTCCATTTCATATTTTTATCATATGTGGATTTTGTAAATTATCACATATGAACAATTTTGTCTAACTTCTTTTACAGGGGCTATAAACATTTTCAAAAGAATGAATGTTGGCTCTCTTGACCTAGGAGATTTTCTTGGTATCATTTACTCCTTACTTTTTGTCACTTTTCATTAATGTCTCTTAATTTCCTAACATTTCCAACTTTTTTTTTTTCTTCCAGCCTTAGGTGCAATCTTTTCTGCAACAGATTCTGTTTGCACTTTGCAGGTCAATAAACATCATTAAGATTTTATATAATCATAATTAAAGTATTAGACCCTGTTTGTGAGATAACATATATCTTATTGAACAATCCAGGTGCTGAATCAAGATGAGACCCCTTTATTGTACAGTTTGGTGTTTGGGGAAGGGGTAGTGAATGATGCCACATCAGTAGTGATCTTTAATGCAGTCCAAAACTTTGATCTAAGTAGGATCACAACAAGTGATGCATTTCAGTTAGTAGGAAATTTCTTCTATTTATTTGTCACAAGCACAGTCTTAGGAGCTGGTGTGAGTCTCATCTATCCATATTCTTCCTAAATATTCAGCATTTAAAAAATTAAATTCTGTCTTGGAAGACATGATCATGTGACGTGGCATTTTATCTCTCTTTATGCAGGCTGGGCTGCTAAGTGCATATATTATAAAAAAATTATACTTTGGAAGGTACATAGAATTATAGATTACATTTTTTTTTCATAAGTTGATATTTTTATATAAAAAAAAGGGAGAATTTCATATATGCCCTTCTTAAACATCAAAATATCATATTTACCCAACTTAATTTCTAAATGTCAAATTTACCCTTCATAAAATTTCTAAATATTATATTTACCCTTCATAAAATTTCAAAATATCATATATGTCCTTTTTAAACATCAAAATATCATATATGCCCTTCTTAAATATCAAAATATCGTATATGCAATTTTTAAACATCAAAATATCAATGGTAATATCTAAAATATCTTCCATCTACAACATGATAATAATCAACAATAGCAAAAACTAAACAATCAAAATATACATTCTATAGAGAAGGTTGCAGATAAATCCTTTTGTTTGTCAAGAGGGCGACATTCCAACAATTTAGAACTTCACATTCGATTATCACAGACGTAAGGATAATATGGTTAAAATTTTTAATTATTATAATAATTCTACGGTATAAAAAATGATTATAGAATATTAAAAACATTATATAAAAGGATTTGGCCAACCAAATATGATATTTGAAAGTTTATGAAGGGTAAATATGATATTGAGAAATTAAGTTGGGCAAATATGATATTTTGAAGTTTAAGAGGGGCATATATGAAATTCTCCCTAAAAAAAAAAACTATTCTTTGGGTTGCTGAATTATAGACATTCAACGGATCGAGAAGTTGCTATCATGATTCTAATGGCTTATATGTCATATATGCTAGCTGAAGTAAGATTTTTCCCACATTTAACTTGCAACCTATATTAGTTAATAAGCTTTGGATAGTTAGTTAGTTAGTTAGTTAGTTAATAACACTTATTCTGTGTTTGCAGTTATTCTATTTGAGTGGCATTCTGACAGTATTCTTCTGTGGAATTGTAATGTCCCATTACACTTGGCATAATGTTACAGAAAAATCGAGAGTCACTACCAAGTATGCCTACCTACTCTAATTGTAATACTATATTTTTGAAGAACTCATTAGCTCATCAGTATCTATACTCACTCATATTTTCAGGCATGCCTTTGCAACATTGTCGTTTATTTCAGAGCTTTTTATCTTTCTTTATGTTGGTATGGATGCTTTGGATATTGAAAAATGGAACTTCGTACAAGACAGGTATTTTGCATAAAACTTAGGCCCCAATCCATTTGTTACATCTGACAGAATAGAACAGAACAAGTTGCACTGTGTTGTTTATTGTGCTTTGGACAGAAACTGATGTTAATGATACAAAAGTCGTAAATGCCCTTCTCATCCTCGTCATAAATGTTTTTTTTTTGGTATGTCAGCCCTGGAAAATCAATCGGAGTGAGCTCAATTTTACTGGGGTTAGTTTTGGTTGGAAGAGGATGCTTGGTTTTCCCCTTATCATTTTTAGCCAACTTAGCAAAGAAGAATGCACACGAGAAAATTACTTTTAGGCAGCAAGTACGTATGATCTTATTATTAATCTTCATGTTTCCACTTTAAGCATCATACTAAATAAATCATCAACTTCTTACCTTAAACTTTTATATTTTAAGGTTTTGATTTGGTGGGCTGGTCTTATGAGAGGTGCTGTCTCCATGGCCCTTGCTTATAACCAGGTCAGTTATTTCATAATTTTTAAACATGTGTTGCTATCCATACACCTCCATTACTAGATGCACACCCTTTTCTTAAATTATTAATATTTCTTTTTATAAACATACACCCCCTAATTACTCTGAATTGATGTTTTTGTACAAATAGAATCACCATTCCATCATGGTTTTAAGTCTATAACTTTTGTTCATTGTACAGTTCACAAGGCTAGGTCACACACAGTTGCGTGGGAATGCAATCATGATAACAAGTACAATCACTGTAGTCCTTTTCAGTACAGTGGTAAAGTACTCTTAATCTTGGTTACTATTTAACATAACATAACATGTTTGTTTGTTTTCTTAATATTTTGTTTTTTCTTTTTTTTTTTGGGTAGGTTTTTGGATTGATAACAAAGCCTCTAGTGAGGCTATTGCTACCTCCATCAAAAAATATGTCGCGAATGGCTTCCTCAGAGCCAACGAGTCCAAAATCGTTTGTGGTCCCGCTTTTAGGAAATGAGCGGGACCCGGAAGCTGGAGGGGGTCAAGAAGCAACATCGGTGCTCCATCCAGCGAATCTACGTGTGCTTCTTTCAACACCTTCTCATACGGTTCATTATTATTGGAGAAAGTTTGATAATGCTTTTATGCGTCCTGTTTTTGGGGGTCGTGGTTTTGTCCCGTATATTCCGGGGACACCTACGGAACAAAGTGTTCATAATTTGATCCCTGAAGGGGGGAATAACTGAAAAAACAAAACGCCTTTTAATTTTATTTATTTTTCGGATATTATATATGGTGCTGGATTTGTTGTTTTATAGGGCAGACTTAAAGGAGGCAATTAAACAGATAGTCAAGTGAAGTGAGTGATGGTTTGATTCAATTTTGGTTTTGTAAATTATGTTGTTGTTTTATTTCATATTTATATATGTGTAACAAATCTCATGAGTATTTGTTTGATTTTGTATATCTCATTACATATATCAATGAATATGGATATTAATATTGTACGCTGTCCACTAGCTATCTGTAGTGTGATATCATGATAAATTAAATGGAAAACATATAGAAACTCAAACTTTTCAGTGTTAATTAAAGGGAAATCTTCGGAAAAGTCCTAATATTTCATCCGAATTTATGAAAAAGTCCCAAACTAAAATTGGTTTATGAAAAAGTCCCGATTACCGGAAAAAATGACGATTTGACCATTTTTTTTTCCGGTTTGTCGGTTTCAATACTTACCCGGTTTCATTAAAGTCCCATTATTTTACCATAATTTTCATTAAAGTCCCATTATTTTACCATAATTTGGGACTTATTCGTAAATTATGGTAAAATAATGGGACTTTATTAAAACCCGGTAATTAATGAAGCCGGTAAATCAGGAAAATAGGGCAAAATCGTCGTTTTTACCGGTAATTGAGACTTTTTCGTAAACAAATTTTAGTTTGGTACTTTTTCGTAAATTAGGGTAAAATATTGGGACTTTTCCGGAGATTTCCCTTAATTAAATGTCGTAGAGTAGCAACATATTTTCATATATGTTTCGTTTTCTGCTACCTACAATTTGTATACCATATCTCTTTAAACATGGAAAAAAGGTTCCACCTGCACCTTGATTATATTTTTAGCTTGCACAACTAAAGTTGATTATGTGACATCTACATGACTACATGTCATATGTGTGGCGATCGCTATGTGTAAATGTAACTTTTAAAAGTCACAAAACATATTTTCCGGTTTGTCTAACTTAGGTTGTTCTTTTTTCTTACACGTTTACTCATTGTACTTTCAAGATCTCTCTAACCTTTATGGTGATAAAATAATCATAATGCCCCCTCAGTTGTGTACCTCTTTACCAAACACCCTTTTTGTTGCCCCTTGTGATCTCCTCGCTGGCTACCACCTTCCTAATTTGGTATACTCTGTGCTTCACACACCACAGCAAATCTGTCGCTGTGGGATGGGATTTAACAATGGATTTCCCGTGGATACAAAACTGTCGCATAAAACAGCATAGGAAAACTTTACCCATGATTAGCGACCGAACTAGCTGTCGCTAATTCGATACAATGTGTAAAACTCCGAAACCAAACAAACAGCCACCGACTTTGTCAGAGATTAGCAACAAATATTTTGCCAACAAAATTTCACACGGATTGATACGAGCGGCAGATTGACCTCGAATGTGGTTGATGTACATAATTAGCGATGGATTGTGATAGACTTGTTAGAAATGGAAAGTCGCCATGCTAAATTAACAGGTTTTTTCTTAAAAAATAAAAAATAAATTATATCTATTAAGACATAAAAATCTAAAAAACAAACAAAACCTTATCAATCTAAGCAATACGCATAAATCTACAAACATAATAACATAGCCGATTCGTTTATTATAAAAGCCATGTGCAAAAATAAAAAATGGGCCCCTAACTTTCTTTTCGACTCTCATTTGTTATTGAAGACGGGCTTATAACTCCTCCTTAACTTTATTTATTTATTTTCATTCGGGCGGTCTTTATGGTATCTGTTTGTTGCGGTTTTTGTTCATGCCACACCTGAAATAACTCTTTTGTCCTTTTTGATTTTCGTTTAACTTTTTATATTATTTATTTCATTTTATATTAATATTCTAAGTAAATGGGCCCCGCCCACCACCTTCCTCGAATCCATCCCCATCTTGTATTTCACTACCGTCACCGGATCTCCGTCTAACACCCATCACCGCCGATTCCATTTCAACTCATTAAAATCAGTCTTTCTTGTATGATGATTTCTTCTTAAAGCCAAATGGAACTAGACATGAAGAAGACCAAAAGCAAGAAGAAGCAGACCATCGATTCCAAATGGAACCAGATCGGACGAAGTCATCCAATACTCCACAAATGATTGTTCTTGAAGATTACCATTCACATAATCCGATGGTGGTAATAATTTGATGGCATGATTTGACCAACAAGACAAACGTAGGCTGTCGAATCCAAAGCACATCTTCAAGGTCTGAAATTTTGTTTAATTGGATTTGAGTCATTTGACCAACAAGATAATAAAGGACTGTGTTAGTTTTTACTGTTAGAAAAGTTGTTATAGACAGTTTTAGATGGTAGTTAGATAGAATGGTATTTTCGTCATTCTTATATTATGAGTTAGTTAGTTCGTTTGTCCTTCTCTTCTTCTGTATATGTATGTATTCACCCCCATTATTGAATACAAGTTTCTGAATCAATTTCAAACAAAACTTTTTCATTCTCTCAAAATCAACAAGGTCGTCGAATAAAAAACACATCTTCAAGGATTCTATGTTTGGTTACAAACTTTTCAACTTATTGTACTTAATTGATTGGTTCCTCGAAATGTTTTCCTTATATATGAACATCAATTTTATGTTTGGTTACTAATTTGCCTCTTCTCCTTTTGTTTTTGTTATCACTACAACAAAACAAACCTTCACCCACGACCCTATTTGTGGGTAATCAGTGGGTAATGGTCTTTATCCACGGATTGTCCACGAAACTGGATTCGTGGGAAAAAGCTCGTGGGTAATGTTTTCCCATGGATTACCCTTTGAATTACCCACAGATTATCCACGGATATATTAACCCACAGATTTACCACAGATAGTTTACCCACAGAATTACCTACAGTTTATCCACGAAAAAAAGTTACCCACAACTTATCCACGACTAGATTACCCACAGAGTATCCACAAAAAGATTTCCCACGTCTTTTCCACGGCTCTGTTACCCACAGATTTTCCACGAATGTTTACCCACAGATTTTCCACAAAATTGTTTACCCACGGATTTTCCACAAATATTCTTTTTGGGTGATTTCGTGGATAGTCTGTGGGTAACATAACATATTTCAAATGTCATATATTTACAAATTGCATAAAATCCAAATTTTTGCAGCTAATTTGAAAAAATATAATATGACCAACAAAGTTTCAACCAAATCCATAAACTTAATCTAGAAAGTTTCAAATATCAAATCCACAAAAGTTTCAATTCCCAAATCCATAAACTTAATCTATGGGAAGTTTCAAACACCAAGACCTACAAATACTAAACCCTAAGCACTAATTGTTTGGCATGAATTTACTCCAAAATTCTTCCATACGTTTTTCTATAGTTTCTTGACGTGCTTTGGATTCCTCACGTTCTTTTCGAAATTGTTCCAACTCTTGTTGATGGCGGGCTTCAGACTCATCGAATCGGGTTTGCAAGTCCCGTATCTAAAAAAATGGTAAAGCAAACAATATTAACTAATGTATGTACTCGTTTTACCAAAAAATATATGTTAAATCAAACAATACTATCAGAGAAAAATTATTTGCACATTTATTTTTTTTATCTATAATAACTACATACTCTATTTTTATTATCCATAATAGCAATATAGTTTACTACTTTTACCAAATATAGGAAACATATTTACCTTTATTATCCTATGAATCAAACATATTTACATTTTCTATCAATATAGCAAATACTTTCTCATAACACTCACCAGTTAATTTAACAAAGCTAAACATATTAATTTCAACCACTTTAACAATTCACAAATCCTAAACATACCACTATAAAAATTTAAACAACCAAAACATATATATGAACAATATAATAACAAAGAAAAATGTACCACTTTAATAACTTAATAAACCCTAAACATAAAAATTTAAAATTTTAACTAACCAAAACATATCACCCTAATAGCACCATACTTACATTTTCTAACCATAATAGGAATATATATTTTCTTATCCTTAGTAGCAATGTGGTTTACTCTTTTTACCAAATACACGAAATATATATATATATATATATATATATATATATATATATACACACACACACACACATACACACACACTTGCATTTTCTAAAGATAATAGCAATACCTCTTGTTGAGATCGAGCATAGTCCATAGAGAACATGCCACAATTTGGGGTCCCGGTCACCGCGAAACTTGGATCTGAGTTTCCTGCCCCAAAAACCCGACCCTTCTGTCTCCTGCCTGCACATTGCTCCCACAATCCAACATCACCAAGTGGATGCAAAGTGAGGTCATCACCATATTTATCCTTCATTGCATTGTGGTACGCCTGCACACTGCTCCCACAGACCAAAAACTTTTTTTCAATTTTTGACCATTAAATATTGTTCTATTCATATAATCTTTTACAAAACTTAATCAATTAATATATTGACTTGTTTGTTCAACTTATTTCACAAATATACTTAAACATACAAAAATACTTTTATACATGTATACATACCAGATAATTCACTATACTCCTTTAATTCATCAACTTAGTAAACTCATACATGCATGTGGTATGTATATGTATCTACTGAATTGGTAAAAAAAAGAAATACAATTATATATTAAGTTATGTTAAGCATGAAACGAAAAAACAATGTTTAAGGGTCATAAAATGAAAAAACTATTTTCGTATGTGGGTAATCTGTGGATAATCACCCACAGATTTCCCACAACAGTGAATAGTTTTTCCATTTTTGACCATTTAACATTGTTATTTTTGTTTTATCATTTATAATGTATAATAAATCGATGTATTTCTTTGTTTTATCACCATATTACAAACATACATGCATACATACTTAATATATAAATGTATCTTTTGTTTTATTAACTTATTATTCATATACATATGTATATTTATAGGTATAATAAGTTGATGAAACAAAGAAATGCATTGATTTAGTAAATTGATATAAATATGGAACGAAAAAACAACGTTGAAGGATCGAAAATGGAAAAACGATTTTGTTTTGTGGGTAATCCGTGGCAAATCACCCACGGATTATCCAAGGACAAGAATCCTTTTTTCAATTTTTGACCACTAAATGTTGTTCTATTTGTCTAATCTTTTACAAAACTTAATAA